ATAGCCTTTCACACCTAAAAATATTTTCAAGCCAAGGCTAGTACAGCTCTATGGTTGTTACCTCCTGACGGGATTTTCTTTTTAACTTGCAACAAAGTGTAGACACATTCACCCCTGTCTTGAGGCTTTCCTCTACCAAGTTGTTCAAACCAGAAACCTAAGAGTTATTTGATTTCTTTCTTACCCTCACTTCCCACATCCAAACCATCCACAAGTCTTTAGGGTGTACCTTCTGAATTCAGTTTAATCTATGCATTTTTTTTCACCTCCATTGCCTCTACCTAATCCAGGCCACATTTTGCTGGGACTACTGCAGTAAGTCTCCCAGCTTCCATTCTTCATCAGCTCCATGCCCCCAACCTGTTTTCCATATGGTAGGAAGTGTTATTTATTGCCTGAAAATGGAAATTGGATTTCATGCTCACGTCCCTACCCACCAAAACCCATCAGTGGTACCCCATTCCCCCATTCTGTAGTACCCCCTCCCCCAAGCTCCATGAAATCAGGAATATGTTTTTCACTTGGCATATACTTTGTTACTGAGCACTTAACCACATGCTGGGCTATATTTTAAGAGATTTTCATATATTAACTCATTTAGGCTAATAATAACTCTATGGCCCTAACCGGTTTTGCTCAGTGGATAGAGCCTCCTCCTGCAGACTGAAGGGTCCCAGGTTCGATTCCAGTCAAGGGCATGTACCTGGGTTGCGGGCACATCCCCGGTAGGAGGTGTGCAAGAGGCAGCTGATCAATGTTTCTCTCTCATCGATGTTTCTAACTCTCTATCCCTCTCCCTTCCTCTCTGTAAAAAATCAATAAAATATATTTAAAAAAAATAACTCCATGATGTAGATATTATTCCCCATTTTACATGTAAGGAAACTGAGTACATGCCCAGCATCACACAAGTGGTTAAGTAGGAGAACCCCTGTATTAAACCAGGGACTCTGCTTCCAGAGTCCTTGCTGTTAATCATTGTGTCCAATGATTTCTTTCTATACAGTAGGTACCTGGTAAACGTTTGTTCAGTGAATGAATAAATTGTTCCCCCAGGAAGCATCAACGGTTATTTCACATAGGTAAGGGCTTCAACTGAAGAACAGGTTGTTAGGCTGAGTTCTGTGCAAGAAGTATCTTTAAAGTTAGGTAACCTTTACTAAACTCTTATCATGTGCCAGGAACTGTGTGTGTACCCTAACTAATTGGATCCCCATAATAAGAGGTATATGAAGTCGAGTTTCACAGATGTTAAGTAATGTTAAAATGAAGATTACATAGCTAATAAGTAGTGAAATCAAGTTCAACTCCAGGTTTGTCTGATTCTAAACCTTGTTATTTCCCACATACTCTGCAGACCCTGTAGAAGGATAACAGCTTATTAAACAAACCTTTAGACTCTAGACCTTGGTTTCAGCATGTGTGTAGCAAAAACCAAAGAAATAGATAATAGAAGCCAGGTGACTGCCCATTTATCATGTTGTTTTGTGACTTTTAAGTTAATCTAAATCAAAGCAAGCCCTTTTGTGTATTTAGATAGCTAATTTAGATAGAATCCACACTAAAAGTTAAATGAGGTCTTTAAATTTTGAGTGCATTTTTTTTTTGGCAACACGTTGTTTTATACATTTCCTAGAAAATGTGTCAAAGGAAATGATTTAATGGTCAGGAGCCCATTCTTACCCTCAGAGGCAGCCTCTCTTTTCCCTACTCATCATCACCCCTCACCCCCAGTCCCATAAGCACAAAGAAATAGAGAAGAATGAAGTTGAAGATCTTTGGTGTTTTAAGGTCTGACTTTCTATAAACTGCTTACGCTGGGTTTTCTAAGTGAGCAGTTCCTTAACTTTGAACTAGTAAAACATTAAAATATTTATGGCATCTACCACTGACCCCTTTTCTGCAATGTGGGAGTTAATCCAGCAGTTTCTGATTAAATAGTGGTATTAGGCAACTCAAGAATTACAACAGAGGCCCTGATGGAGGAGGGTGAGGAGGAGTTGAGTGTGTGAGAGGAACCCCAGACAGCAAGTTAGTCACAACGACCCCCTTTATAAGAACAAAACCCAAATGAATGCTAATTCATCTTTTATCTGGAAATTGGTGATTATTTCTGGGCCAGTGGGATTATTCAAGTTTTTGCTTTGATTATTTGGGTTTTCTGATTTTTAAGAAAAATTATAGACATTAATTTTTTATAAGATGAAATTATAATTTTAAAACTATATATTCTAAATTAAAATCTTGTCCAGTATATGTATATTTATACTTAAAATTTGTGTCTATATATTTTGGAATCAGCTTTGTTGAGGTGTAATTCATAGACCATACAATGAACCCATTTAAAGTATACAGTTCAGTTGTTTTTAGTCTATTCAGAGTTGTTCAACCATCACCACAGTCTAATTTTAGAACATTTTTATCATTCCAGAAAGAAACTTTGTACCTGTTAGCAGTTACACCCTTATTTTTTTTTTTTTTACCCCCCCCCCCCCCCCCCCCCCCCCCCCGCCCCATAAGCCCTAGGCAACCACTAATTTACTTTCTGTCTCTATGGATTTGCCTATTTTGGACATTTCCTATAAATGGAATTAGGTAGCCCTGGCTGGGTGACTCAGTTGATTGGAGGGTTGCCTGATACACCAAAAGGTTGTGGGTTTGATCCTGCGCCCTTGATTGGAATCGAACCTGGGACCCTTAAGTCCATGGGCCGACGCTCTGTCCACTGAGCCAAACCGGCTAGGACTCAGTGAGTATTTTGAATGAATAATAGGACTTACGTTACTGCACATTTCCATGCACGGATGAAGCTCAACCAACTGAGCCACACCCGCCAGGGCCCAATTTAATTATTTTAACACTGCTGTGGTAGGTAGTTTGGGAAGTTGTAGTTAATTTTACAGATTAAGTAAATGGAAAAGGATGAAGACCTTAGTCAGACTTATACTTTGTTTACTAAACTTTTCTGTTTTTTCAGTAAGTCTCAAATTTGGTATCCTTTTTTTTTTGTATTTATGCTTCTGCTGCTAACCGTGTTAAAACTTGGAGAAAAACAAAAACAAAACAATGATAAAAGTTGGTTATCTAAAGATACAAGCTTGTGTGAAAATATCAATCACCAAGCTATTTAGAAAGGTAGTGTTAACTTTTTCTGATCTGTAATAAACTCATTTGTATGCTGTCAGTGCTCCATATGTGTTTGGATGGTGAGCACCTTCCAAAAAGCAACTTTGAGTATCAGTTTGTTATATAATAGGATGACTTAGTCCTAAAAAACTGACTTGTGCTCTAAAAAACTTAGTCCTAAAAAACTGACTTAGTCCTAAAAAACCATCATGCCTCTGTGGTTGAGCGTCGACCTATGAACCAAGAGGTCACGGTTCGATTCCCGGTCTGGACACAGGCCCGGGTTGCGGGCTTGAATCCCAGTGTGGGGCATGCAGGAGGCAGCCGATCGATGATTCTCTCTCATCATTAATGTTTCTATCTCTCTCTCCCTTCCTCTCTGAAATCAAAAGAATAAAAATAAATAAATAAATAAAGGAATACTGTCCTAACCTTTTCACATCAGTGTTCCTCATTGTGTCCAGCAGATGCCTCTTTGTGACCTCTGGGTGTCCTGGGCCTCGCCCTGGGAATTCTTCTGCAGCAGAGTCTCTGGATGTAAGGCACAGAAATCTTCATCTTAAATGCTTTCTCTACGTTATTCTTAGTCACTCTAAAGTTTAAGGACTTTAGGAAGTAAATTTTGTATAAGTTGCAGTATTAGAAATTAATAAGATTCATTCTGGCTACAATTCTGTGTATGTTTTGTTTCTGATAAAGAATGACAATTTTTTCCCTCCAAGCTCAGTTGTAACTATCCCATACTGTCTGGTTAGGGTAGGGTTTTGGGGTCCTTATATGCCTATGCGTTTTGCTGGTTATATTATGTGTAATCAGCTAACTGCTTTTATCTTTTTACACCCTCCTGCCGCTCCCCTCCCCCCCATTTCACCATTAGCTAGGAATTAATGACTTAACTGGATATAGCATTTTACTGAAATGGCTTCTGAGTTTCTTTGAGAGTTACTTCAGGATAATAAACAGTACTTTTACCAGCGTCTTTGAATGACTTGTTGAAAGTTATTTCTGGCTTTCTCCATAGACCTCTTGGTGAAGAGAGCTGTGTTGGGCCCTAGCAAGTGTCAGAATGTTCTCTTCCAGCAGCTGGCTCTCTCCAACCCCCATTTCCCATTCCCCCTCCTTCCTTCTTTTTAAACTTGGGGACCACGTGATGGAATTAAAGATTTGTTCCACTCTGATTTTTAGGAAAATTCTACTTCATTGTTGAAGTCAACTGCGGCATTCATTAATTGGATTACAAATGGCTTATTGTAAAGCTATGTTTGTTCTTTCTTTCCTTGAAGGAATGTGTAAAACAGGGTATGTAATTTTAATAATGAATATTTTTTAGAATGGGGGGAGGCTGGCAGTTAATTTAACTCTTTGGACACACCTACAAGTTTCCCTTTATATGTTGCCCTATAAAGAATATTATCTTATAGAACAAAACATGATTTGCATTTTATAAAACCCATGATAGACTTTGTCTTTGCCCTGGGGCAAGGATGTATGTATCCCCTAGGCCCTAGGGGCTAATTAGACCTATGCTGTCCTATTATGCACATGTGACCTGACCATTTAAATTGATTAAAAGTAAATAAAAATTTAAAAATTTAGGTCAGTTGAACTAGCCACATTTCAAGTACTCATGAAGCCACATGTCACAAATGATTACCATATTGGACAGTGGTAGTAGAGATAATTCCTATCGTTGCTGAAAGTTCTCTTGGACAGTCTATACTAGACTGGCCATTTTTTAAAAAGAGAAAGAGGCAAATGAAAGGGAAAAATATTAGACCCGAATTTCTACCCTTCTTTCCATAGTGCCACATTTCCTGTCTCCTTGTACTCTTGATTAAAGTTCAGAAAAAGGTCTATTTTGAGTGCCATCACTTTGACCTTGTTTTTTCATGTTTCTGTTTCCTAGGCTGGCAGTGATGGTGAAAGCATAGGAAACTGCCCCTTTTCCCAGAGGCTCTTCATGATTCTTTGGCTCAAAGGAGTTGTATTTAGTGTCACAACTGTTGACCTGAAAAGGTAAGACGTGGTCGCGGTTATCTGAGTATATGTAGATCACTTTCAGTTTGATCCTCTCCCCGTCCCTCACTTTGTTCGCCGTATCTTCTCTAAAGAAAGTATATTGTATTAAAGTTCAGCTGATGTGTGGACAAATTGAACTTATATTAAGTATTATGGTAATTCACAATATCAGTAAATTGCATGTCGCCATTCAGTCTTTTAGGAACTCGTTGTATGTTTACCTTACATTTCAAGAGCAGCACCAGGAGCGAAGTTTTGGTGTGGATCAGTGAAATCTTCGCCATTTCTGTGTAAACATGGGTCTATGAAGAACTTTCTAAGCTGACAGCTTCTTGAGCTCAAGTTTGCTGATAAACACGTGGCCTATATCATCTAGATCCTTAAAGGCAAGAATGGGATTTTAGGAGGATAAATACAGCTAGGTCTATTTTATTTAACCTCCTTTCTAGGAATTAAAATAGGATTTTTTAATAATACAATTTCCACCATATTTGGTTAAGTATTATTGTAAAACTAGAGGCCCAGTGCACAAAATTTGTACACGGGTAGGGTCCCGAGGCCTGGCTGGCGATCTGGGCCAGTCAGGTTCCCTGCCTCCTCCTTCCCTCCTCCCTCAGCGCCCTGCCGCTGCCACTGGTCGCCTGCCATGTTCCGTGCTGCTCCCTGGTGGTCAGCGCATGTCATAGCGAGCGAGCGAACTCCAGGTCTCCCGGTTGAACTCCTGAAGGGACACTTTGCATATTAGCCTTTTATATATATAGATAAGAGCAATTATCCGTGGCTGTGATTATTCTTGCTAGTTGAAGAGTTGTTTCTAACTTTTGCCATGGAGCACAGTGGAGAGGGAGAAGGCTGAGAAGAGCCCTGATAGGTAGAAAGGTCTTTTCACTCAGGAAATCCTGTTCCTCCTGAGCTGAAGAACATTCATACTTAAAAGAAAAAAGATTTAAATCAAGGGTTAAGAACAGTTGTACCAATAGACAGTCTAGGACTCAGCAATGGAAATGTGTTCCTCTTGACACAACATGGTTTGCTGCTTATTTTTAAGCATATCAGTCATGAACAGTGTTCAAGAAAAAAACATGGATAGGCTCTCCCTTAATGGATGGCAGAATTCCCTATGTTATCCCTCCAGGCATCACAGAGAGAGAGTTTCGTGAGAGCTGTGAACTTACTCCCCGTTCTAGGTTAGCATTCCCTGGACACCTGTCAGTTCCTTACAGTTTATTCCTTACTTACTGCTAGTGCACTTATTTGAAAATATGCAGACTTAGAATTTATATATTGAAAATAAGCCTGAAATCTTCCAGGAACCCCATTAGTTATGTATATGAATGTAGAGAAGGCCTTTGGGGATAGTGAGAGTTAAAACTACAGGTTCTTTGGAAGACCTAGCTCATATCGGACAGAGCTATTGTAAGAATGAAATGATTCATGGAGTTATCCTTTGATTACTGTTTTTTTCCTACATGCATTCGCAAAGAAGTTTCCCAATATAACTTCTAAAAATAGACCATGCTGCCAGGCACACACCCTGACTGTGTCCTAAAATACATGTATTTCTGCTATTCCATTTTTGGGTTGGAGCAAGTGAGTTGACTGCCATGCTTCCAAAAATCCTTTCAACAGCTCAATACAGTGCTCGATTGGGGTACATACCAGTAATGGTATCATAAACGAAGACTGTCTGGTTCAGGAAAGGAAGTTAACACATAATGGCTATTTCAAAGTCATTGGTTTCACTTTTCATTTACAAACTTCTTAAAAGGCATTATTCCTGTAAGTTGGTTGATATTTGAGCATATGTTTAAGTGTAATGTACCCTACATGTCAAAAGTGACACATGGACCCCCAGTGTGGCTCACTTGTTGGGAGCATCGTCCTATACGTGGAAAGGTGGTGGGTTCGATTCCCCATTAGGGCACATATCCAGGTTGTGGGTTTATTCCCCATCTGGGCTTGTATGGGAAGGCAACTGATTGATGTTTCTCACATAGATGTCTCTCTCTCTCTCTCTCTCTCTCTCTCGCTCTCTCTATCTCTCTCCTCCCTCCCTCCCTCCTTCCCTTCCTCCCTCTCCCCTCACCCTCTAAAATAAATTAAAAAAATTTTTTAGAAGTGACACATAGGGAGTACAGTGAAAAATTCAGGGCCTCCTATTAGAAAATACTACCACTCAAAAAAAAGTATTTTATTTCCTAGGACTTTTTGTAAAATCAACAGAGTACACTAACATGGGAGCCTATATTTTTTAGTTTTCTTTAGAAATCTTAGATCTATAGTATATATATATTTTAAAATGGTTCTTAAGGCAATTTAAAAAATATACAAAAGCAGTACATGATAATGTGTCCCTCCACCCCTAGTCATCAACTTCTCTTCACAGATATCATTGCATTTAGAGTTGGTTTTGCCCTAGCCCGTTTGGCTCAGTGGATAGAGCATTGACCTGGACTGAAGGGTCCCAGGTTCGATTCCAGCCAAGTGCACATGCCTTGGTTGCCGGCTCAATCCCCAGTGCGGGGAGTGCAGGAGGCAACCGATCAATGATTCTCATCATTGATGTTTCTATCTGGCTATCCCTCTCCCTTCCTCTGTGAAATAAAAAAAAAGAAGAAAAAAATATATATTTAGAGTTGGTCTTTATCTTTCCAGTCCTTTTCTATGAGTTTATTCACTTATAGTCTTTAGTTAGATTTCAAAGAGAAAGTGAACATTGGCTCAAAAAAAAACCCTGTAAAATCAAATTGTCGCAGAGGAATACAGCATCCTGTAGTGAAAAGTACCTTTCATGATATAGTCTTAACTATGACTAATGATAGGAAGCTGTGTGGGAGAAAATGCCCGTAGTGCTTATTTTCCTGCTTTTTTCTGATGAATTGCCTAATTCCTCAGTGGGAAGTACTGATCCCAGAAGAAGCGTGGTGAGCAATAGAACTTTCCTGAGAGCTATTTAAAAACCCACTCTATGCTGTGAAAAAATTATTGTTACATGACATTTCATCCATTACAATCAAGCCAGGTCTGGCACAGTGTGACGCGTTCTCTTTGAATCTCAATTGGTGTTAATGACTGTGCTGGTGGTATTCATGTGCCCTGTGAAACTTGGAACAATCTCCCACCGCTTGCCTGCTAGTGCTGCCTTCATGCTTCAGTGTGGGAGTCCGTTTTAAACCTAATTTCCTGTTCATGCTACAATCGCATTACAGAACTTTTGGATTCAAAACAGTGCCCAAGCTTTAGGAGGAATTTAGGTTTTACATCAACCACCATTTGAACAAAAAGTTCAGATAAATAAGTGGAAATATTAAAATTTGGGGCGAATGTTTAAAGATGTTATCACATATCGTCAAAGGGGAACAACCGTGCATAGTAGCAAGTATCAGGGGTAGAGACCTGGTTCTGTTTGGAGAGAGCCCTGGGACCTTGGGCAAGTGTCTCATCTGGGAGGTCAGTTGTCTCATTTTTAAATTCAGGAAAAAGGAAGAGAAACTAACATTTCTTCAGTCTATTATGTGCTAACCATTGTTCAGGGTACTTCTTACCACTCTTACTAAACCATTTTCAGACCTGCTACTGAGTGTAATTCTTTTTTTTTTTTTTTTTAATAACATGGCTACTATAGGGTCTTCCTGGCTGACAGGTTCCTGGCAGCGATCAAGATCTTTATTTGAAGACTTACACTATCTTCATTATGCCCAGAAGTTCCTAAATCAGAGATTAGCATCTTTAGAGCCCAGATAAACCTGAGATGTAGGCAAGGAAGAGAAAAGAAAGTATGAGAACGGAGAGGGAGAGAAAGAGAGAAAAAGAAAGAGAAAGAAATTGAGACACTGACTTGGCAATAGCTGGGTGTGGCCATATTTTGTCACATACTTGTTGGGGGAAACTCTGGTTTTGAGAAATGAGAGTAGAAATGATAACTTTTAAGGAATTAACTTTATTGTAAAAGCAGTGATATCTGCTATATTACTAGCGAGTAAAATCTCCCTCCATGGTATTCTCTGAGAAGAGAAAGTAAATTGGAGACCACTTTTTAAAAGTCTGAGAAATACATGTTTCCATTTCCTCATCCCCACCTTAAACACTGAAACTATTTCCTCTGCAGTGTCATTACTGATTCTCTTGTTTCAAATGTCAACATACCAAATGGTAACATATTATGTGAGTCAGACTCACATGTAAGTTGCCATAATAATGACATAAAGGTTTAGAAGATTATGGTAGTTTAATCTTTCACAATTTAGTAATAGTTTAAGATGTTACAATGAAATGATAAAACTAATAGTTCTGCATATCTTAAGGGCCGTTATAAACTTAGAACAACGTCTGATTTCAAAATAGATCCCTTACATAGTTTGCTTTCATTATCATGTCTCTGTGGTTCTAACTTTCTGAAAACAGCTTTCAGCAAGTTGAGAGGTCAGTTTGATTTCCAGGTAGTTCCTCAGAAAGAGCCGTGTGACTGAGACACACAGACTAGATGGATGGAACAGGCCAGCCTTTTAGAGAGATCATCCACTTCCTACCGCTGGCCAGTCAGGAAAGTACAAACTCCATTCTTCCCCTTTGTACATTTGATTTGAGTTACAGGAAGCCCTGTTAATCCTAACAATCCAAGATATGTGTCTCACCAATGCATCCTGAACCATGTATATTCCGTGTGCACATGTGTGTGTTTGTGTGAGAGAGACATACATAGAGATAGACAGAGGGAGAACTTGGCTCCCATGTGGCTTTATGTTGTTTTTTAAGATAATTTCAAAGATGATAAACCCTGTTGAGGCCACTAAGAGCTGAATTAGAAATATGTTAGTGGATATTTTTCTATTGGAAAGTAGCAAAGCTAGTGAAGAATAATTCATAGGAGTACATTGAAATAAATAAAGGATTTGTGATGTTAACTTGTGTTTGCCTGTTTGCTTTGTAGTGTCCAGTATTCTCTTGATTTGTGTGAATTAATATTATGCCTTGAAACTCGGAGCCTTCAAAAGGAAAGGGGAAGTTCTACATACTTAGTATTTTTTCTCCATTTAGTGAGTCACCTAATTACAGACAGGTCATCTTAAGAATCAGCTTCAGTGTCCTGTGGCTGTGCCGCACTCCTCTTACACGAGGCAGCTGGAACTGAGCCACCAGCCCCACGTCCTCCAGTTGTTGCAAGTGTACCCAATTAAATTTTAACTGACATTAAGCCACTTAAGTTGCTTAAAGTATTAGCTCCGGTAAGGTTCCTCCTTTGAATTTCTTTCTTTCCCTCTCTGTTTATTGTTTGTCTGTTTCTCTTTATTTTATTTTCTTCACCTGGGAACAAAATGGGAGAGAACAGAATATATTTTTTTTTAATCTAAAATATTCCTACTATGAAAAAAAAAAGGTCTACTTTGATAAGTAACATTAAAAGTAAAAAAAAAAATCCAGCCCTGGCTGGTGTGGCTCAGTTGTTTGAGTATCGTCCAGTGTACCAAAAGGTTGCTGGTTGATTCCCGGTCAGGGCACATACCCAGGTTGTGGGTTCGATCCCCAGTTGGGGTGTGTGCCTGAGGCAACCAATAGATGTTTCTCTCTCACATCTGTGTTTCTCTTTCTTTCTTCCCCACTTTCCTTTCCTCTCTAAAATCAATAAAAACATTAACAAAAGAATGAAAAAAGTCCCCCAAACATTGAAGTATATTTTTTGCTCTTATCTCAAGGCATGAATTCTGTGTACTTTGCTTTTTCTGGATATGTCACACAAGGTAAACATTTGAATGAGTTTGACTGAATTGTTGAATATTTATTGAAGGCCTTTCATGATATAAACCAAATATTTATACATTTTTAGCCATTTCCTATCAGTTCAGTTTCATTTATCTCACACTGCAGTTCTTGAAATGTTAAGTGTTTGTAAAGCATCTGTAAAATGAGCCTTTGTGGGTCAAACAAAACACCCGAGGCCTCTGAGTGCCAGGTGAGAACTAGAAGTTGAATCTTAGATTCTCTTTGCTTGATGACTTGATACACCTTCTGTCCAATTTGACCACTGTTTTTGTTTAACAGGAAGCCTGTAGACCTGCAGAACTTGGCTCCTGGGACCCATCCACCATTTATAACTTTCAACAATGAAGTCAAAACAGATGTAAATAAAATTGAAGAATTTCTTGAAGAAGTCTTATGCCCTCCCAAGTGAGTATTAAAGAAAAATGCATGGAAATTCTTCCATCTCTTTAAAGCTTTGTCTTGACTGGTACTTGAGTTAAATTCTCACAGTGTTAAGTTGGAATGACCAGGACTTCCCTTCATTTATTATAATTCCACACAGATGTCAGAATTGGCTTCTGGCGAGGCCAGTAGCTACATTAAGAAAGGTAGGAATCTAATTAGGTAGGATGCTGTAGAGGACATGGTGTAAGATAGGCCAGGAAAGACTGGTTATTAGAGGGACATTGGTTCTAAGTTTAAAGAGAAGTTTAGGGAGGAGAAAAGATGGGGAAAGACAAATTTAAACTGAACTCAGCCAGGATGTATAAGCAGGTGTGTGGTGCAGGTTGCTGGGGGATTTCTTACCAGGTCATTTCAAAGGTAACGTTCTGAAGCTACCACCCAAGGGAATTGACTTTTTAGACTGTGTCCCTGGGATTAATTTTCTATTTATGTATTTCTTTGAGGTGTTCTAGATCCCCAAGTCCTACATGGTTAACAGTTTTGTAGGTCTATTTCCTATAATGTAAAGTACAGTTGTAGACTAGATGAACTCTCATGACAGTTACCTAAGATGCAGATAGGCAGTTTTGCATCATACTGTAATCTTGGCATAGGTTTAAAGAATTACTGAATTCTTTTAGGCTTTTCCAGTTTCATTATCTTCAAAACTGAAAAAAAAAAAAAAATTCCCCCCCCCCCCCCATGCCTTTCTTGCTAGTTACCATCGTTTATCTTCTATATCCAGATAAATTTCCCAGGAATGGTATTATTGAGTCAGGTTTCCAAAATAACTAATGACTCAATATTCATTCATTCACTCACTGTGCAAACAGTTATTGGGCAACAGAGCCTTGTGGACACAATAGTGAATAAGCCATAGTTCCTGCAGCACAAATATGGATGGTGGTAGTGGTGGTGGTGGTGGTTTGGGAAAGTGAGTCGATCAACTGTAACTGAAAAATAAATGATTAAATGGCAAAAAAGAAAGAGAGGGAATCGGGAAAGGCTTTATAGATGATACTTGAATTAAACTTTAATTTTTAAAAAGTGGCATTCACCAGGTGAGGGAAGGAGTGGCAATCATTCTAGGCAGAAGAATAATTTTGTATCAATAGTGGTTTTTTTGGAGACCTGGAGGTATCTAACCCATCTTCCATTATGAACAGAATTGGCCTCTGTTTAGCAATCTTGTACTAAGCTTAAAATTTCATTTTCTTAATCCTGTATTATAAAAGCTTATCCTCTGCCTTCCTTCCTGTTTTTCTAAGAGCTTCAAACTTCTTTTACCTCTACTTATCAGGAGTCCAAACCTTCCTTCCATCCTAGTAAAGTTTCTTCAGACCAACACTAATAAAACTGTGTCTTGCCTTTTCTTCCAGACCTTGTATATAAGCAGAATACCAATAAATCAAAACTGGGATCTTTGTATTTGCAAAATGTAAATTGTAGGTTTATACATATTAGTAAGGAGCTGTTACAACCGTATATTCAACTTAGTAGAAATAACTTATGAAAGAATGTTGCATCATAGAACCTACTAGATCCCTTTTTATTTTTAAAAGTCTGTCAGCCCCGAGGGAAGTTCCACATTTGTCTGCTTGTCCTCAGACAGTAATGAAAGCGATCCTCCTCTCCTGTAACTGTAGATCATTGTATCAACATTACATTATAAACAGAGGAACAGTCTGAATGAATGACTTGCCATCCTCTGTGAAGAAAACTGTGTTTTGTCTGAAGTGTTTAATGTGTAAATTCTCCCAAGATAGGACATTTTCTTATATTTTCATATAGTCTTCATCAACAGCAACAACAAAAATAAATTTTTTTTTAAAGGGGAGAATGATGATTTTCATTTTTATTTTAATATATATTATATTGATTTTTTACAGAGAGTAAGGGAGAGGGATAGAGAGTTAGAAACATCGATCAGCTGCCTCCTGCACACTCCCTACTGGGGATGTGCCTGCAACCAAGGTACATGCCCTTGACCGGAATCGAACCTGGGACCCTTGAGTCCGCAGGCTGACGCTCTATCCACTGAACCAAACCAGTTAAGGCCAAAAATAATTTTTTATTAGACCTTCTTGTTATTTTTCTCAGAGGAAATGGACATTAAGATAATAGATCTAATACCAGCATATTCCGGTTTCTTCACGTCCAGTCCTCTGTAAGACATCGGTTTTTGAATTGGACCACGGAAATAAACATTTTCACTTTGCTTTTTATACATAGAAATTTCAGCCTCATTTTGTTTGGATGTATTCATACAGATACTTTAACCAGAGATGGTCTTTCCTTTCAGTTTAAATAATTTAATTTAAAACTTGGAGATCTTTCTGTTATAAAGGGTTCACGGTGTGCTAAATTCTCTTTAAGGGTAATTTCTTTGCTTTTATGTTGTAGGTTATAATCTAAAGAGAGTTCCTAAATAGTTTTATAATTCACTTAATTTAGAAAGGAGCGTTTTTGATGTTGCTAATACTTCTGCTGTTATTAACTAACATTCAAGTGCCATTATGTGCCTTGTGTACAGTGCATTAATGGATTATTTTGTGGATTATCTCAGTCTTCAAAGACTTCGTGAAGAACCCGAAGATGAGTAATCCAAACAATTTGTCCAGGGTTAATGGTGGCAGAGCTGACGTACTTATTCCAAAGCCAGGTCTATGTAACTTCAAAAACCTATGTTTCTCCTGTTGTCTTCTTTCTGATTCTCATTTCGTTGAGTTTGACTTTTATAAGAGGTGAAATGTGTCTTTAAGTGGGATTGTGCATTAAAGAGTACCAAATTGAAGGCTAGCTCACGCTTAAAGGAAGGGTCGAGAAATCCTAGAAAATTTACTTTACTCTGATGAGCAGGCTGGACTGAAGGTGGTTGTCACACTGAATTTAATGAGTCCTTTTTAAAAAGTAGGTGAGGTTTAACTTCTGACGAGCTTTTGTTTATATGCAGTGCAGCAGCATGTTTGGATTGGGAATTCCTTCCCTTCCGTGGGCGCTGCAACCCGTGATGTGAACTGCTCAGCAGGCAGCATAGTCGTCTCTGTCACGCAGAATTGTATGGAGAGGAGGACCAGGAGGAGACGGGTTTCTGGGACTGTGACCTGCATTCCTCTCCCTCTCCTTTGTTGTTCTGTGGCATTCCGGGACCATCCTGCTCACTGTCATTTCTCTAGAACAGGTAGACCTTCAGGTCCTTAACTCTGCTGATCCTCCTCACAAAATTGTAAGCCTTCTTGTTTCCAAATAGGATGAGGCGAAGGCAGAATTGTTGTACAAGCTGGTAGACTAAAACCTAGCATTTCTAATAAATGTTTTTGGCATTTGATGATAATGAGAACAGAGTGTTTTTATGTGAGCACTTCTGGTTTAGCCATGACAAATATAAATACAGGCAACTGTCTGTTCTAGAGTTGTTTTGCATTTACAGACGAAATGAAAGCTTAACTCAAGCAGCTTTTGCTGGTCAGTGTAACTATAGGTTTTAAGAAGAAACTCTCTTTTTTCTTCGATGGGGAAAGTGTTTATGGTTTTGTTTTTAGTTCCCCTTGCTTGAATGAAGGAACTACTTTGCCTCCTCCATCCCACCCCCCGCCCAAAAAAAGCTTTCAAGAAGCTTTGAAACTTGGAATTTTAACTGAAGCAGGACTGTACACTTGGCTAACTTACTGATAAAAGGATAGAAGGATAGAGAAAGCTAGATAATTTTGGAGAAGAGCTCCCAAAGGTATTATGAAGCCTTTTAAAAAAATGAGAAATACAGGCAATGAAAGTTGAATGTATTCACCTGGAAAGCTGATGAATATCCTTTTGGGATCCTCCCCTGCGACTTCCAGATAAATACCCTCAAGACTGAGGACCCAGCCCGGCCGGTGTGGCTCAGTGGTTGAGCGTCGACCTATGAACCAGGAGGTCAGGGTCTGATTCCCAGTCAGGGTACATGCCCAGGTTGTGGGCTTGGTCTCCAGTACGGGGCATGCAGGAGGCAATCGACAAATGATTCTCTCTCATCACTGATGACTCTATCTCTCTCTCCCTCTCCCTTCCTCTCTGAAATCAATTAAAAAAAAAAAAAGACTGAGGACCCAGTGCTGCTGTCTGTAGAGTTTCCCCCCACCTTTCCCCTCCCTCTTCCCTTGGGGGCATCATCTTTGTCTCTTTTTAAAAAAATATATTTTATTGATATTTTTACAGAGAGGATGGAGAAGGAGAGGGATAGAGAGTTAGAAACATCGATGAGAGAGAAACATCAATCAGCTGCCTCTTGCACACCCCCCACTGGGGATGCACCCGCAACCCAGGTACATGCCCTTGACCGGAATCGAACCTGGGACCCTCCAGTCCGCAGGCCGACGCTCCATCCACTGAGCCAAACCAGTCAGGGCTTCCTTGTTGCTTAAGTTCCAGGGGCCCTTTTTTTTTTTTTTGCCTCTGTAACTTGTTTCCTAAGCTGATTTCTTCTACCTCTCTGATTTTCTAAATAAACTTTCTCAGACAAAAAAAAACAAAGTTAAATATATAAGGATAATTTAATAAGCTGTATAACCAGACTTTATTCTTACATTAGTACGAGAAAGGAGAAAATATATGAAACCTTTCCTAAAATGATGGAAATATTATTAGCTAGTCTACCATTAATACAGAGTAAAGAACTAATCTAAAAGTCTAAATACCCAGTATGCTCATGTCCATTCTATGATTGACACATAGCCTTTTATTAACTAGTTGCCTTCCTTTTGTTAAATGTTAAAATGAATGTTCACAATAATTGAAAATTATTGTTTTATCAAGCTGTTAAAACTAATAATAATTGATGACTTATTAAAATCCAGTGTTATGTTTTAATAGTTTTTTAAAATATATATTTTTATTGATTTTAGAGAGGAAGGGAGAGAGATATAGAAACATCAGTGATGAGAGAGAATCATTGAGCCGGAAATCTGGGCATGTGCCCTTATAGGAATTAAACCATGACCTCCTGGTTCATAGGTCAACACTTAACCACTGAGCCACACTAGCTGGGCTGATTTATGTTTTAACAACACTGCACGTGAGGACTGGAAATACGTGTGTTTTAGTTTGGGGAAACTTTTAATCTAGTGACTAGAGCTGGAAAATAATTCCTTTTAGGCAAAATGAAACATTGAGAAGGTCTCTTGTAGCTATAGTATTGTATGCATTAAGTTAACACACACTTAATGGTTTGTCTTGGAAGGGAAAAACAGGGCATGTTTAACCTGCTTTAGAGACAGTGTTTAAAAAAAATTTTAATAGCGTCTCTTTCCATATGAATAAGGATATGCTGATTGACAGTCCTTCACTCTTACCTGTTCATCAAAATAGATCTCTACCAAGTGTGCTCATATAGAAATGCTCATCATTACATCCCCAACACTTAGTACAATGCCTGACACATAATAGATAATAATTAGAATTATTATGTATGAATAGTGAATATATACATGATCTGTAGAAATATCATGTATGAAGGGTGAATATGTACATGATCTGTAATGTAAGCCTGCCTTCCTGTAAGTTATTTTGGAAATTATGAAGTTTACTTTAGTAGAAAAAGTTGGTACAGCTAAATATTGGTTGGGGAAAAGAAGACTAATTTTGGAAACTTGGCTAGAGAAAGACATAAATGTATTTGGATAGGCATTTATGTTCCTTGCACTATTTTTTTTTTGTTGGAATGAGTCAATGAAGGTACTGTATTACCAGTGGTGAAAGCATTTAAGTTGGAAGTTGGTTGTTTTTGTAGTTAAGGGAAACCCAGGGATGTTGAAGAAGGGATTAACTGTTACAGCTCAGGTAGGGAAACAAACAAAAAAAAGTGTGTGGGGATAAGGTTTTCTATAGATGGGAAGAAAAAAACATACATACGCAATATATATATGTATATATAAAAGCTCAGGAGAAATTAACTTACTATAATTTTTCACTAAAAATAGTTATTTAAATACTTTTGTTTATAAGAGAAATCTTTAAGCTTAAAAATTGAGAGATATTAAAAAAGAAAGATAGCTTGAACATATAAATGTTTCATAGATATTTTATATTCTTCTTACCCATATAGAATACTGTGTCCTATCTATCTATCTATCTATCTATCTATCTATCTATCATCTATCTATCTATCTATTTATTTATTATTTTAAAAATTGATTTCAGAGAGGAAGGGAGAGGGAGAAAGAGATGGAACATCAGTGATGAGAGAGAATCATTGATTGGCTGCCTCCTGCACACCCCCTACTGGGGCCTGAGCCTGCAACCCAGGCATGTGCCCTTGACCAGAATTGAGCCTGGGACCCTTCAGTCCGCAGGCGGACACTCTATCCACTAAGCCAAACCAGCTAGGGCTACTGTGTCCAATTTTTAGAAAATATATTATTTCTTGAATTCAAAATAGTAAAGTGTAAAAAATAATGACTATAAGAACTAACCTGAAACCACACCTCGCAATTGAACTAAATTTCTATCTAAAAATACCTCATCTTCATCTTTAATTTAAAGTGGTAAAACAGTACCTTAAAATATATAAATAAATCTAAATTATAGTTCAATATAAGATATTTTTCTAAAGTCGTACTGCCCCGAAAGCCCATTTTCCGGTGAAGTTTTGGAGGGCCTTTTAGCAGATAAACCTTTCCTAAAGTGGTTCTTTGAGTCTGAATTCCTTTAGCTCTGAGTCCCTGGAGCTGATGCCAGAGGCAAGAGCAAAGTGTTAAACTTTTTTACATGTACTTTCCAATTTGAGGAAAAAACATATGAGTATGTGTGTTTGAAATTGAAATATGTAAGATACACATTTGTGTCATTTTTTTTTTGAAGCTGTTGTGTCACTAATAACTTCTCCAAGTAGGAAAACTTTGTAACAACACAACTGAGCACTTGCTAGCAAAATTCCCGCCATCTTATTTTTCTGTTGCCCAGTGCCCCTTACAAAATTTAATATAGAAGAGGTTTTGGAAAGTCCTGAGTAGGGTCATCTGAAGTGAGTGATCTGCCTTTCGCTGCCTTTGCCCCTAACCCTCTGGATGAACAAGATGCTGACCAGCCTAGACTTTGCTGCTGTCAGGGTTCTCTGGCGCTGCTGCCCAGGGCTGGTTCAGGGCACCACACACCAAGCATCGGGCTAGCATTCCTACTTAAGAAAGCTCTGCGGCTGGAAGAATGTGAATTCTTAACTTGATTTAATTGCTGTGACTCTAAATTCATGTTCAAATAGCCACATATCACTAATGGGATACCGATTGGACAGTTCAGATACAGAATATTTCCATCGTCACAGAAAGTTTCCTTAGCGCCGCTCGAGGGATCTCTTTCTAAAGTGCCCACTGGCTTGGCACAAGTCTCTGAACAAGTAGACAGTCTCCTCAGCATTTTAGTTTGTAAAACGTAGGTGGAGTGCGGATACCTTTTGATTGCCAAGAATATTAATGTGTGAACAAAAACACTGTGCAGAGCTTTGTTTCCTAAGGAAAAAAAAATCTTAAAAATATCCTAGAAAACAGCCCGACTGGCATGGCTCAGTGGTTGTGTCGACCTATGAATCAGGAGGTCAGGGTTTGGTTCCCGCTTGGGGCACATGCCCAGGGTGTGGGCTCGATCCCCAGTGTGGGGCTTGCAAGAGGCAGCCAATTGGTGATTCTCTCTCATCGTTGATGTTTCTCTCTCTCTCTCTCTCTCTCTCTCTCTCTCTCTCTCTCTCTCTCCCTCTCCCTTCCTCTCTGAAGTCAGTAAAAATATATTTTTAAAAAGTATCCTAGAAAACAGATGATGGTATTTCTTAGAGTAATAATAACTATTAAAAGATGTCTAGTAACTGCTAGCACAATGGTTTGTTGATTGAGGGGATTTATGCTAACGTATCTTTGGGGGATCTGTAATACATTATCACTTTTCCATTTAGGTACTTAAAGCTTTCGCCAAAGCACCCAGAATCAAATACTGCTGGAATGGACATCTTTGCCAAGTTCTCTGCATATATTAAGAATTCAAGGCCAGAGGCTAATGAAGGTAAAAAAGAATGTTTGGATTATCACTGCAAAAAAAAACCAAAAAACAACCACCCCTATTATGAGAATGATTATAAATGAATACTTTGGAGTCCGGACATTCCCATATGTGTTAAAAACTGGCTTTCACAGTTGATCAGAGATTTGAGAAAAACCAGGTTAAGTCCTTAGCTCATGGGACAGTACCTAGCAATATAGTAGGTGTGTGATAAAATGTTTATTGAGAGAATTTGTTCTCATATTGTGTGAAGGGAGCTATGCAAAGAACTAATGGCGCATCAGAAACAATGGATTGAGCCCTAACTGGTTTGGCTCAGTGGATAGAGCGTCAGCCTGTGGACTGAAGGGTCCCAGGTTCGATTCCGGTCAAGGGCATGTACCTTGGTTGCGGGCACATCCCCAGTAGGGGGTGTGCAGGAGGCAGCTGATCGATGTTTCTCTCTCATCAGTGTTTCTAACTCTCTATCCCTCTCCCTTCCTCTCTGTAAAAAAATCAATAAAATATATTAAAAAAACATAAACAAACAAACAAAAAACAATGGATCGATGGCGCTTAATTTAAACCATTACTAAATCTTGTTTATTGTTAGGTGCCAGCATTCTAAAATCAGCCTCAGTGGGTTTTTGTGCTAATTATCCTTACAGAGCAATTTTTGGATTTGCTCTAAGAGAGCCTTTAGACTCACCAGCCTTTCAAATTTCTCTGCATCCTAAAAGTAGGATTTTAATTTCAAGTCACATTTTCATGGTGAGAATGGTTTAGGTAATAGGGATGAGATTTTCTTTTATTTATTAAAGGACACACTCTCTCATTAGTTCATTCACCAAACATACCTGCAGCTCAGGCATGTGTCCTGATCAGAATCAAATCGTTAACCCTTCAGAGCACGGCAGGATGCCCAAGCAACTGAGCCACATTGGCTGGGCTGAAAGAGGTCCCATTTAATGAACCTGTTTAACCCCACCATCCACTAATTTCCCTTTTTCTTTCCTTTGGGATGTTAAGAAACTGTATAGGGAGAGCATTAGTATTTAATTAAGACTAACAACAATAACCAAAAAGCTAGCTCCTAAAGGTTTTAATCATCATTTTTATTTTTGTTTTTATTTATTGATTTGATTTTGTTCCACTTATTTATGCATTCATTGATTGATTCTTGTGCCCTGGCTGTGGATGGAACCAGCAACCTTGGGGTATCAGGATGACGCCTTAACCAACTGAGCCACCTGGTCAGGGACTCCACCATTGTCTTACAGGGGTGGGGAACGTCCTGTCTGTGGGCAAAGGCCCGTGAAATCATTTGGTCTGGCCCTGCCAAGGCATTGGGGGTGAGTTAATTAAATGTTTGACCAAATATAACAGGCTAATTTTTTAAGCTGATAATTTTGTATGGCCCTCGGATAATCTTATAAATATCCAAATGGCCCTTGGCAGAATAAAGGTTCTCCACCCCTATAGACTGTTGAATTTTTTTTTCATATATATTTTCCTATTTAAAGAAGAAATATATGAATATGTGATACTTAAATATATAAAATATACATTTGTGTGCTTTTTGAATACAAAGCTGTTGTGTCACTAATGACTTTTCAAAGTAGGAAAACTTTGTAACAACACAACAGAGCACTTGTTACCAAGATTCCTGACATCTTATTTCTCTGCTGCTCAGTGCCACCCTTACAAAATTTAACATGTGGGAGAAACTTCTGAGTGTAGGGTGATCTGAAGTGAGTGATTTGCCTCTTGCTGTTTTTTTGTCCCTAACGCTGTGGGTGACCCTAGACGGGTTCTTTTGGGTAGGAGTTTATGGCAGCAAATGGCCAAGAGTATGAAAGCGGGGTCGGGTGGGGTGGGGGATCAGAGCTGTTTAAGCAAGAATAACATTTTTAAAAAAATTGAAACAGTTGCTGATTTCCTTATCATTTAGACAGATTTCTAAGCTTTTCAGGCTTTTAAAAAATTATGATTACATTTTATAAATTAGTATTGAATTTCAATGGTTCCTGGAATAATTCATATTCGCTGCATGAAATGTTTTTCTACAGTGAAGGGAGAAAAGGGAGAAGGTCAGTGCTCAGGCCTGGCTTACATCTGTTAAATACGTTCGAGAGGCTGTCTTGTTTGGGAGCAGCTCTCCTTCGTAATTGATTTTTTTTCTGACTCGTGTTTCTGTCTAAGCCTTTTCCACACTAAGTAAACAGTTACACTGGAGCACGCTCTGTCTGCAGTTTCTATACTCTTCTACCTTTCCTTTTCTTTTTTTTTTTTTCTTTTTTTTTTAAAATATATTTTATTGATTTTTTACAGAGAGGAAGGGAGAGAGAGAGAGAGAGAGTTAGAAACATTGATGAGAGAGAAACATCAATCAGCTGCCTCCTGCACATCTCCCACTGGGGATGTGCCCGCAACCCAGGCACATGCCCTTGACCGGAATCGAACCCGGGACCTTTCAGTCCGCAGGCCGACGCTCCATCCACTGAGCCAAACCGGCCTCGGCCCTTTCCTTTTCATAAAACTGTCTTTTATATCCAGATGCTCTTGCTGCATAGTTCTTGGAATGCTCTTAGTTAAATCATAATGTTTTCATTTCTCTTTGTGGCTTTTGGAAGCTGGAGAGTGGTTGAATTTCTTTTGACACTTGGTGGGGAGGAGAGGAAAAAAATGTGTTTGCTTAAAAAATTGCTTTGGTGGACAGGTTTGGGGGCAGAGAATGAGTCATTTAAGTATAGCTTTGTATTCTATTTTTTCCTAATAATTTGTTACTGTCTTAAGTAGCCACCTATGCTTACTGTCCTGAGAATTCTGTAACCAATAAGAACAAACAACAGTGGATTGCACAGTGCATAACTTAGAAGGCCTTATATTAAATTACCTGTTGGTAAATAAGAATTCCAGTTGCTAAGCAACTTCTCCCCACAGGGGCCTGTCACTGCCATGAGACTTTAGAAAACAATGTTCCAAATAATTTTGTACCTTAATGGGTCTCCCTTATGTATATTTGTTGCAAGTCTCTTACCTGTCTCATACAATTAAATGCCTTAAATAAGCACAGTAAATGAATGATCCACCTCCTTATTTCTCCAAATAATGAACAACTTACATAGAGATGGATTTGTTATTTTATATGGTAAGTCATTATAGGCAGGTCTTTGATTAGTTTTACCAGCCTGTGAAATATTTTATAAACTCTAATATTTTACAAAGCTTTGGGCAATTTTAAGACCTCATTCTCAGTAAGGGATTAAATGCCTAGATGCTACAGTATTTTAGGTTGGGGTCCAAAGTAAACATAAGATTTAAAGAATAAAATAAACACTGATGATAGATAAATTGAGAGATAGAGAGATTGATAGGTAAAATATATAATTCTTTTGGTAACACGTCCAAGTTGGTTGGGAGTAAGAGTTTGTGAAATCTTTTGAAGCATTAAAGGAGATTAATGAGTAATTCCTTTTACGGGGATGGGTTAGGTACGACCTGTCCCAAATCTGTTTATCCCTCCAGTTAATTTATATAACTTATTAAGCCCCCAAATGTAACTAATAGATAATTTATTAGTCTGTTTGGTATTTATAATATTCTTCATTTCCCTGAATTTACTAGTGATGAAAACCTGCCATTATATGCTCTGAAGCATATTCCTTAATGTCCAAATTCCTATTTTTAAATGGAGGAATTGAATCTTTAGGTTCTAATGAGTTCCTATTCATTCAAGATTCATTCTCCTTCCCTTCCTCTCTTTCTGGAAAAGTGGAATCAGAGGATGATTGTTAATCATTATAGCTATGAAACTGCATTATATATTTAACCATCTTTAAATACGCACTACTTCTCGTGTTTTCCTCTAATGTGTTACCTAGCCTTTAAACATTGTTTATGTCAGATTATCCTTTATTAAAACTAGCAGGAGATTTAAAATATAGTTTTATCCATGTAAGTGTTCATAATTTCTGTTTTCTTCTTTGTGAATTGTATTGTTTTCTACAACAATTAGGGACTTGTTACATTTAATGGTTTCTGCCTTATGTTTACTCATTCGAATTATGCAGGTAATAGAGTTATGCCTGCTTATTTAAAAAGTTCAAGTAGTATAAATACAAATTTAATAAAATTTCAGTGATCCTTAATCACATTGTGTAATCTCTCCCCAACAGTACACATCCTTTTTTCTATGTAATTTTGCAGTGTACATAAATGTGTGTTTATATATTTACATTATGCACTTGTCTTTTTCACATATTATGTGGCGGAAATTCTTTAGAATATCGAACTTTACTTCATTGCCTAAGAAATGCTGCTCAATATTTCATAACATGGATTTTTAACCATATCCCTGTTGATAGACATTGAGATTGTCTCCGGTTTTTTTCATTATGACAAACAATACTGCCTTGTACTAGATCCCAAATAGGTTAAAACATTTTATTCTCCAAAAGTGTATACCAGTTAATATTTCCACTAACGTGAAATTTTGTATTCATTTCCCCATACTTCTGAGCCTGGTGTGTGCATGTGTGCTAATCTTAAATTTTGCTGTGTTCTCTTAGGCAAAAAAGGGTGTTTTGATTTCCATAATTTAAAACTGACTGTATGGCTTCTATTATATGTACTCATTTTTTTGAGAGCCTTTGAAAGACCTTTTTAGAGATGCGAGTGTTACTACAGCAGGGGTATTGGAGAACAATAGTGCTACTTATTAATTACAAAAGACAAGGAGCTACTTTCTGGTGGCTAGCTACTGCCTCCTAGTGGTTAATCTTTACATTTTCTTATTCTCAACCAACTTCAAATTCCTTTGTGATGGTTTCAAAACTTGTTTATTAAATGATGCTCTTTAGTGCCTTTCGATACTTCTATTTTTCTTTATTTTGTTGGCCATCCGTTATATTGACACATAAAAATTGTAGCAAACTAATTCAGCATTCTTTGTGTTCACTAATATACCTTTTATTCTGACATTTTTAACTTTGAAAAATTACCCAAGATTCTAGTCAGGTACAACAATTCAACTTGATTGCAGGTGCTGTGCTAAGCCCAGAATTATAGAAAGAACAATAATTGTAATGTTTTGCTATCTTAATTTTAGTTCGTGCCTTACATCTGGGATCCTAAGCATCATATGACATAAACCTTGTAAATTTAAGATATTTTATTTTCTATTGGATACATTTGAAAATTAATTCATAAAAAGGATTTATTTAGAATAGGTTGAAGATTACTAGCTTGCTCACTTGCCAGACCACTCAGATCCATTTCAGACATCATTTCAGTGTTTAAATTTAGGCAATGTTATCTTCCTTACTGGCCATGCTTCTGTTCATTGTAATCATACAAGGGAGAAGTTCATGATTTAGTAGACTATTAGTTTAGTGTAAACCAGCCCTGAGTTTAAAAATATAAAGGTTTTAAAATGTAATAGTAATAGAAAGTACCTGTATCAAGGACTGAACATAACTAATAAATTTTTCTTTCTTTCTATTGAATTGATTGGAGTGACACTGGTTAACAAAATTATATAGGTTTAGGTGCACACATCCGCACAACACATCATCTGTACACTGTATTGTGTGTTCACCATACCAAGTCAAGTCTCCTTCCATCACCATATATGCCCCCTATACCCTCCACCTCCCTTCTGCCCCCTCCGCCTGGCAATTACCACACTAATACATTTTTAAAAAGCATATTAAAAACTACAAGATATTCAGTGATACTGCCTTTTTTGCATTTAAAAATTTTTTTGTGCAGTCTTTTATTTTTAGCTCTCATGGAAATTTAGACAATTATAATCATTATCCCAATGTTTCTGTGGTAAACTTGGTCTGTAACATTACATTCGTTTCCAGGTGTACAACATAACAATGTGATCTTTGTATATGCTATAATCACCACAATAATTCTAGTTTCACCCTTCACCAATTTTGCCCATTCCCCAACCTCCTTTCCCTCTAATAACCATCCATCTATTCTCTGTTTCTATGAGTTTTGTTTGTTCATTTGTTTTGCTCTTTAGATTCTACATATAAGTTAAACAATATGGTCCAGGCATACCTCAGAGATACTGTGGGTTCTGTTCCAGATCACTGCAATAAAGCGATATCTCAGTAAATGAGTCACATGAACTTTTGGCTTCCCAGTACATATAAAAGTTATGTTCCTACTATAATCTAGTGAGTGCACAAGTCTTTTATGAATCATAATCTTTTTGCAGTGCAGGGTCTTGACTCCATGTTGGCAGCTGACTGATCAGGGTGGTGGTGTGGCTATGGCAGTTTCTTACAATAAGAACAATGAAGTTTGCCTCCTTGGCTGATTCTTCCTTTCCTGGACGGTTTTTCTGTAATATGTGATGCTGTTCGATAGCATATTACCCACAATAGAACTTCTTTCAGAATTAGTCAGTGCTCTCAAACCCTGCTGCTGCTGTTTGAACTGAGTTCATGCAATATTCTAATCCTTTGTTGTCACTTCAGCAATCTTGACAGCATCTTCACCAGTAGATTTCATCTCAGCAAACCACTTCTGCTCATGCATTTGAAGCAACCCCTCATCCGTTCTATCATGAGATTGCAGTGATTCAGTTACACCTTCAGGCTCTGCTTCTGATTCTAGTTCTCTTGCTGTTTCCTCCACATCTGCAGCCACTTCCTCCACTGAATCTTAAACCCCTCAATGTCATGCACGAGGGCTGGAATCCACCACCTCCCACCTGTTAATGTTGGTATTTTTTACCTCTTCCCATGACTCATGCATGTTCTTAATGGCATCCGGAGTGGTGACTCCTTTCCAGAGGTTTTCAATGTACTTTGCCCAGATCCATCAAAGGGAGCATGATTTATGGCAGCGATAGCTTTACAAAATGTATTTCTTAAATAAGACTTGACAGTCAAAATTACTCCTCGATCCATGGGCTGCAGAACTTCAAGAACTTTCCTTTGCATGAATTCACAGCGTGGCTAATTGTTTGGCGCAAGAGGCCTAGCTTTTGGCCTACCTTGGCTTTCAACATGCCTTCCTCACTGAGCTTAATCATTTGTAGCTTTTGATTTAAAGTGAGAAATAATGTGACTCTTCCTTTCACTAAATACTTAGAGGCCATGTAGGGTTTTTAATTGGCCTATTTTAATATTGTGCCTCAGGGAATAGGGAGGCCTGAGGAGAAGGAGAGAGATGGGGGAATGGCCGGTCAGTGGAGCCGTCGGAACACACACAACATTGATTGATAAAGTTCTGTTTGATATGGGTGTGGTTTGTGGTGCCCCTAAATAGTTACAATATTAACATCAAACATCACGAGTCAGGTATCACCATAACGAATATAATAATAATGGGGAAGTTTGAAATACTGCAAGAATTACCAAAAATGTGACAGAGAGACATGAAGTGAACAAACACTGTTGAAAATGGCACTGAGCCCTGCCAGTGTGGCTCAGTGGTTGAGCGTTGACCTATTAACCAGGTCACAGTTCGATTCGTGGTCAGGGCACATGCTGGGGTTTCGGGCTCGATCCCCAGGAGGGGTCATGCAGGAAACAGCCAATCAGTGATTCTCCCTCATTATTGATGTTTTTCTCTCTCTCCCTCTCCCTTCCTCTCTTTGAAATAAATAAAAAATATTTTTTAAGAAAAGAAAAATGGCACTGATAAACTTTGCTCAACACAAGTGGCCACAAACCTTCAGTTTGTAAAGAACACAATATCTGTGAAGCACAGTAAAGCAGACTCAGTCAGATGAGGTATCTCTGTATTTGTCTTTGTCCGACTTATTTCAGTGTAAAATCCATCATTCCTTTTTATCTAGTTAAGGCCACTGTCTATTGTCTGAACTACTTGAAGGGACCAAGGGATGAGTAGGTGGGAGCATTTTGGAAGAAGAAGTGTTGGGTTAGGATATATTTATGTTGCTGGTGAAATATCTAATGGGCAGCATGTGGAACTTGCCTTTTCCCATAATAGATCCAACTTTATTCAAATTTATAGCTAAAAAGGTTGTCAACTCATAATATTTAACTTTCTTTTACAACCAAGGACTGTAATCATTTGTGTAAGTTTATATATTCTGGGAGTGGGGGGTGAAGGTGGATTGGGAAGGTTAAGGTTAAGAAAGGAGGAGAGAAGATCTGTCTATATTTATTCCATATTCCTTTCTAATGGTGTCCCCGCCTCCTCTCTATGAAGGTCACTAACTTGACTTTCCAGATACACAGGGTTGGCTCTGCCCCACTTCTCTCTAAATCACGACAGTTATAGCATTTTAATCTATTTGTCTAGAGACACCCTCAGTTCAGCTCTAATCTGACTTCTGTTTTTCATGTTAGTATGCAATACGCTATTCTTGACTTTCTGTGTAATATTAGTGCAAAAACTCCAGGGTTTTTGCTCAGATTGTTTGCATTGGGGTTTAACAACACATTTTGTGGTGAAAAATCCAAATATTCTTAGGGGAGTAGAACTTAAAATTGAAAGTAAAAAGTCTGTTTCAGCAGGATTTTCTTCCCTAGAATTGAACTAGAAGGTTTGCTCTTTCTCACCAATCTTTCCAGTTTATTATTTTTATTATCTTTTAAAATATATTTTTATTGATTTTAGAGAGGAAGGGAGAGAGAGAAACATTAATGATGAGAATCATTGATGGGCTGACTCCTGCAAACCCCATACTGGGGAATGAGCCTGCAACCCACGCATGTGCCCTTGGCCGGAATCCAACCCAGGACCCTGCAGTCCACAGGCTGACACTCTATCCACCGAGCCAAACCAGCTATGGCTAATCTTTCCAGTTTAAACATCATCTATGCTATGTATTCATATGTGGGCTGTTGAGCTATTAACAAGATTTTAGACACCACTGTCTGGAACTGTCATGCTTGTTTTGATATTTATCTGAACAAATCTGTCTCACGCCCCTGCCCCATGTAAGTAAGCCCAGGAGGGCAGGCACCTTGTCTGTTTTGTCTTTGTGCTTAGTGTCAGAGCGAGCATTTGACAAACAGTTACTGACTGAAGGTAATGCTTCTCCTTTGGGCTTGGGTGGGCTCCCTTCTCATCGTATTCCCATCTTTCTTTCAGCATTGGAGAGGGGTCTCTTGAAGACACTGCAGAAACTGGACGAATATCTGAATTCTCCCCTCCCTGATGAAATTGATGAGAATAGCATGGAGGACATTAAGTGTTCCACACGTAAATTTCTGGATGGCAATGAAATGACATTGGCTGATTGCAACCTGCTGCCCAAACTGCACATTGTGAAGGTAGGCCCGTAGGATGTGGTGTCTCATTGCCACTAGACCTAGTCAACTGTGTACTAAGACAGAGCTTCTTCGTGCGTAAACTTTTCTGATCTTCTGACATGACTAGGACCGCCCCCCCACCCCAAATAGTGTACTTTAACGCTGCTTAGGCCTTACACATCATAGAGTTAATGAAATGGAAATTATGTCTGAAAATTGAGGTGTGTGAGAAAGAGGGACATTGCATTTTTCTCTGACTGCATAAAAATTCAGAGATGTAACAGGTAACTTTGGATTGGAGTTTGCTAACTGACATGTAATCAGATTCTGCTCTGTGATCACCTGGCTTTTTCTATCCAAGGGAAACATGCTTATTGAGCATGTATTGTATGAGACACTGCTAAATAGAATAGTAATAAACACTAGTTGTGCAGTAAAGGTTGAGATAGAGGAAAACAGATCTAAAATAGTGTGTGTGTGTTTTAAGTATCTGCCCAGGGATTTCCCGTGGCCGTCTCTGGATGGCCAGAGCAGGTGTTTGCAGTCAGTGTCACATTTCTCAATCTCTGGTGTGGTTTGCAGTCCTCGTCATTATTTAAAACTAGAGTCCCGGTGCACGAAATTCATGCACTAGAAGGGGAGCTTCCCTCATCCCGGCCTGTGCCCTCTTGCAGTCTGGGACCCCTCAGGGGATGTCTGCCTGCTGGCTTAGGCCCACTCCAGTCAGACATCGCTCTCGCAGTCTGGGACCCCTCGCTCCTTACCACCTGCTTACTTGCCCCTTACCACTTGGCTCGCTGCTCCTTAGCGCTGCCACCGAGGCAGGAGAGGCTCCCGCCACCACCACTGCACTCGCCAGCCCTGAGCTCGGCTTCTGGCTAAGTGTCTGCATTGAGCTTCTGCCCCCTGGTGGTCAGTGCATGTCATAGCGACTTGTTCCACCGTTTGGTCAATTTGCATATTGGCCTTTTATTATATAGGATTCGAGTTAGATTGAAGGTGACTTCTAACTTCATTCTCCCCCTCTCTGATGGAATTGATAGAATGGTATAGAGGACATTAAGCTTTCTTTCAAATAGAAGGAGTTCTCAGAGTTTCACAAAATCAGTTTTCATTAAAATCTAGAGATGTTTCTGGTTAACATGGAAAATAAATGTTAACTTTTGATCTCTTTGTCTTTCAGGTGGTGGCCAAAAAATATCGCAACTTTGATATTCCAAAAAGAATGACTGGCATCTGGAGATACTTAACTAATGCTTATAGTAGGGACGAGTTCACCAATACCTGCCCCAGTGATAAGGAGGTTGAAATAGCATATAATGATGTAGCCAAAAGACTGACCAAGTAAAACAGCACTTCTGAGAGAGGTCTTCACATCACTTCCTGATTAAGAATATGCTTTTTCTAACAGACTGCTCCTCTTCCTATAAAATAGAAATTTTATTTTGCATGAACATGGCAGTTATTCAAGATTAGGATAAAGGATAGATAAGGTATAGTAGCTATCTTTAAACATACACTCCTAAGCAGTATTATTTTAAAATTATTTTACCCTGCCTACCTCCCCTAACTCATATCCTCCTCTCTTCTAATTTGGAGACAGTTCATCACAAACTTTTGTACTTTAGAGGTAGTTTCCTATCTCTAGAGCCCTCCCCATTTTGTCCTTTCACTGTGTTATAGATGGCAGGACTTTTGAGGTGCAATGTTTAACTGTTAAAACTGGTAAGCATGACCTCATCAGTCAGCCCCAAACTGGTGCATAATGCATGGTACAAGGGATATTTATGTATTTTTGGAATTTTATATTTAGTAAGAGTATATGAAAGGATTGCTACTGTATCAAAACCCTCTGTTTCAGTTTAGTCTATCCTGGAGAAGTGCTAAAGGTTTCACCACCAGAGGAGAGAGCCTTCCACAGGAAGTCACTACAGATTTTGCTATTCTGTTTTGTACATGGATTCTCACGTTTCCTAAAAGCATTTATTCTTTACACCAATGATAACATCTGACACTATGTAGAAGCTAAAAGTTCAGAGGGAGGGATAATATTCTCAATCTTTTTTTGAGCATCTTATCCATAGAAACTAAACCAACGGGCCCCTTGTACCTGTCTCAGTGTGGTGTTTGCTAACGTGCTTTGCCCAGTGCCATTCATTTGGAACGTTACTGCTTTATTTTAAAACGCTCCTTTTTAGGTCAGCATAGATCTTGCTGTTGGTAGATCTTTTGAGCAACACTACATAAACTACTATTTAGTTGACTTAGCTATAGCAGTACAATGAATAGGAAGGTAAAAATTAACACAGAAATTAAGGTTTGTCAAAATATCAAATCGAATTTTGTTTCTAAAGCTTATGTGGGAAACCAAAAAACCCATTCTCCATCCTATATTGAAAATAAGACAAAACACACAGATTAGCAGCTGTTCCATCCACCCCTATTTACTGTTAGACTTTGGGCTTACGCCTTTTGGACTAAATTATAGTTGTTATGGTGAGTGCACATTTACAGCAGTTTTGCCTAATGTCAGCCATTGCGTTTCCTTCCATTACATTTTTCCGCAGCCACGTTGAGGAGTAGCGTTCTGCATGTTTGTTTTTTTAAATTGAAGTTCTAAAGCAGGAATTATTTGTGCTCTAACAAGGGAGGATGAGCTTAGTGAAAACAAAACGAGTTTGCTGTTTACTCATTTTTTTTTTCAATTGGACTTTCTGGATAGAGTTGTTACTACAGAACTTTCAGTAATTTTTTTATACCTAACTTGTTTAAGAAGCCTATTTCTCATAGGCTGTTTTTGGAAATTTTAAGTATATTGCTTTAAAATGGCAATGATTTCCTCCCTTTGATATGCTAACATTTAGTAAGCACTGGCTGTATGGAAGCAACCTGATTTTTATAAGCATACTGCATTTTTTTTTTTTAATGTACCAGTAATAAGTACAAAAAGATAAGTAAAGCTCCATATTGTATCTATTTGGCTCAGGGAGATTTTTTTTTTTTTTGCTTTGTTTTTCTTAAAATTCTCTATTGCTGATCAAAAGTTTGAGCACCCACCTTTTGTGTAATTAATATTGGATGCTGATTTATCTGGTTCCAGGAAGAACTACTACAGGTTATCTATTGAGAAATTCTATAGCATTAGCTTCATTGGGTAGAAATGTTACATCTGCCACCACTACACAGACAGCCATCGTCACTTTCCCTATTTTTAAATAGTGGTAACTTGGCATCCGGGTAATATTGAACCTGCTTCAGAGCTTAGAGGTGAAAAAGAGTCAAAAGAAGGGGTGTTGTTCTCTCCAGTGAATGGTGGACTAAGTGGTGTGGAATAGAGAGCTAATGAGGAAAGAGCATCATTCCTTAGAACAAATAGAATGATGAAAAATACAGTCTAAAACTCAATTGTGAAGTATTTTACCTTGAATATTTATTCTCTATCTTTGAGAAATGTATCCGATGACTGTTCTCTATCTTTAAAAAATGTATCCCATGATGCATCCCTCTCAATGTCCAAGGAACAGGTAGGACTGTTACAACATTGATGAAGGCAGAATGATTTTTTCTCTGTAGAAAGACCTCATTGCTTTTATCAGGGAAATTAGTTAATGAAATTGAGATTGGCAAATGGACAAAAGGCAGTAAATAGGGTGATCCCAGCAAATGCTCTTTTACCCCATCTTATATTTGTACAAAGATTATAGCTTAAATCTTAGAAGATTTGGGAATAAAAGTTTACATGACAATTCATGTGGTGTATGGGTTATATAATGGAAATCATCTGTTATTATTTCGGCAACTACTGAATCATTTCCCCCTTCACTTAAACCAACAAGGAGATTAGAGTCTGAGTGGAAGCTCTGTTTCCCAAGGGATTCTGTGAAGTTTTGTGTTCAACAGTTGGAAGTTCTCCATTTCAGTTGATGACTTCCTTTAAAAAGAAAGAGTAAATGCAGTTTTTCTGTACAGCTCTGTTACCTTTTACTAGGATTGTTGACTTGTGATGAAATTAATATGACTTTTTTCTTGGTAACTTTGGTTTAGACAACTTATCTTTAAGCCCCTGAGCAATCTGTATACAATTAAGACATTTCTGACACATACTCTTACCCTAAATTGATCAACTCTAGAATTTAGGCAGTCTTACTTCTGTTGAGTTTTGAGTCTCTCCAGAGTTGCATGTAAATAGCTTTTATTTCTGTGCATTTAAAATATCCATTTAGAAAATATCTACAAGGTAAACATGATAAGAAATACGTATTTTTTTCATGAACATTTTGATAGACATTTCATCAAGTTGATTGATCAACCAATTTCTTATACTGGCTGTAATAGTATTTGATTCAAAGAGAGGGAAGCATTCATTATCTATATACTATGTGGGCTATTTTATTCCATTCTTTACAAAGTATCAAATGTTGGGGCTGTCAAATTTATATTTTTATTATGGAAAAATGTTTCAACTCCCCAGGTCATAATGTTGAATAGAATTGGAGTATTTCCTTTAAAATTATTTGAAAAGGCAAATGAAAGCCTATTGAAGAATGCTTGTATTTTTCTTTTGTCTCTGGACCCAGTATATTGCTGGCAGCTATTGTATTAAAATAAAGTATATTTTCACTATCATTAAAGGTTCTTTTTTCTCCCCCCTCATGAAAATAAATGATAATTTGGGGTAAAAGTGTTTTATTTGAGACTTTTTTCCCCCACGAGTGGGTGATTCAGCACAATTAATACATTAAAGAGGAAAACCCATATGACCTCAATTGGTGCATAAACAATTTCATAAGAACTGTAATGGTACTCATTCTTAGCAAAATAGAACAGAGGTAAAATTTTAACAAATCTGATAAAGACATCTGCCAAGAACTTCCAACAAATTTCATATATAAATATGAAACAGAAGCCCTTTCATTAAAGTCAGGAATAAGACAGGATTGCCCTCTATCACAGCTATTTCCAGCTACTTTATTAGAGCAGTATCCTAGCCAGTGCATTAAAATTACTGAGACGAATTGACCAAATGATTGTTCTTTGCAGGTGAATGCATATACATAAAAGAAACCCAAGACCAACCTACTATTAGAAATAAGAAAATTCAGCCAGATTACTTAGATACAAGAATGAGGAACAAAAAAATCAATATAACTATATATATAAAAGCCTAAATGACCAACCGATCAGAATGACTGGAACAACAGGTTGCTATGATGCTCAATGCAGGAGCTGCTCCCTGGTGGTCAGTGTGCTTCCAACAATGGCAACTCCACTCAGCTAACCAATCTGTCCCAGTGGCCCACCAGGCCAGCGGCAGCCACTCACTCCCTCAGTAGTCCTACAGGTCCAATCTCCAGAGAACGGACCAGGCACTGACAGACCAGTGCCGCCGGCATGACCCCGACAGCGCTGCCAGCCTCCTGGAAGCCAGCGTTGGGCACCATGGCTGCTTCCCTTCTCTAAATGCTCTGCAAGGAAGAAACAATATAAAAGCCACCAGGTGGCTCCCAACAACCAGCGCGAATGTCAGCGGGACCGATCCGGATCCCACGTTGGCAAGGGCGTCCCACCGCCTCCCCGGAGGGCCGAACGTGTGCTGCCGCCCCCCACCCCCTGGACCCCACCCATGCATGAATTCATGCACCAGGCCTCTAGTATACTAATATTTACCACATTAAAATTAATAGATAATCTAGTAACATTGGTTTCTTCTGGAGGAAAACTGGGTGACTCAGGAAAATGGGTGGGAAAGTGTCATTCCATTTTGCACTTTTAGGATTTGTAACGAACATCACCCTAAAAAAATAAAAAAGGGCTTTAAAGGATAAAGTAAGATATTTAGGATTAAATCTAATAAAGAACGTACAATTCCTTTATGAAGGAAAGCACAAAATATTAGCGGACCTAATAGAAATCTGTTCAATGGATAGGTGTACCATGTTCATGGATGGACAACTTGAAAGCATAAGAATTTTAATTCTGTCTCAAGTAATTGATAAATTCAATATATTGTCCAACAAAATCTCAAGTTGGTTTTTTTTGGGGGTGGGGGTGGGGAGACTAAATAAATGGATTTTTAAAATTCATATGGGAGAATTTATGTCTCCGAATAGCTAATGTTTCTGGAAGGAGGAGGGAAGGGAAACTTGCCTGAAGATACAAAGATTTGGAAGCTTACAGTAATGATTGCGTAGGATATAGTAGGCCACAGCAACACAACACTCCTGCTGCAACGACCAGAAAAAAAAAAAAAAAGATTTAAAACACCAAAATAAAAAATTTAAAACACCAGAAAACTGGAAGCAATAAAGACTAACTGAATTGGGGTTTCAGAGGAGGAAGTCTTTCTGAGGTGAGCTGATAGTCTGGCCATTTTCTCCTCTGGGGGCTTTAGCTGGAACTGAGGTTTGGATTTGGGCCATGCAGAGGGACTCTACTGGAGAAAAAACCACAAGGTCCTTGGTCATAGGGCACACGGGAAACCAGAGACACCCCAAATACATGGCTGGTTTTCTCAGAAGACATTTGCTGAACTCCAGAGCTGGACATGACATTCTAGAAGCTAAGCCAAGGGCTTCCAAAAGGCAGAGTGAAATCTCAATTGCACAACATTTAGGAGACAAAATTTCACAAGGGAGGGGCTTTCCCAAAACACAGAAAGCCTTGTGGTTGCCTGGCACTGAGGATGAGAGTAGGAATTGACCTCAAACAGGCACAAGTGGTCTTTTTGGGAGGTAATGGAACTGTTCTAATACAGATTGTAGAAAACGGTGTAGTATCCAGTTATACAAAGAATTCCTACAACTCAAAGACATCCCACTTTAAAAATTAGCAAGGATTTGAATAGATGTTTCTCCAAGGAAGATATACAAATGACTATTAAACACATAAAAGACACTTAACATTACTTAATCAGGGAAATGTAGATCAGAAGCACACACAAAGAGATACCCTCGAGGATGGCTACAATCAAGAAGACAGGTAATTATAAATTGTCAATGGTGTGAAGACATTACAACTCATTGCTGATGGCAATGTAGAATGGTGCAGTTGGTTTGTAAGACACTTTGGCAGTTCCTCAAAAACTTAAACAGCCCTCAGTTCCTCTCCTAGGTTTATAACCAGGAGAATTTAAAACTTACATCCATATGTCTTGTACAAGGATGCTCATGACATCGTCATTCATAATAGCCATAACAACCCAAATAGTCATTAACTCATGAATGGATAGAATGATATACTCCAAAATGATATACTATTGAACCATTAAGAAATTGATACAAGCTGCAATGTGAAGACCTTGAGAGCATAATGCTCAGTGAAAGAAGCCAGATACCAAAGGCCACATACTGTATGATTCCATTTATGTGAAATTTCTAGAAGAAGCAAGTGTATAGAGATAGATAGTAAACTGGTGTTTGCCAGGAACCGGGGGAGGAAAGAATGAGGAGTGACTGCTGGTGAGTATGGGGTTTGTTTTTGGAGTGATGAATATGTTCTGGAATTAAGTAATGGTGATGATTGCACAACTTTGTGAATATACTAAAAACTACTGACTTGGATAGGTTGGAAGGGTAAACTCATGGTATATAAATTATATCTTAAAAAAATTGAAGGGGGCAATTCTCCCTTGCTAAAGTTTTTGATAATCAGTGTATTGAGAGGTTGATTGGCAAAATTAGTGATGTGTCTGAGTTAAAGTTCAAACTAAATGTCATTCAAAATATATTCTTAAAAGGAAAAAAGCAAAGAAAGAATTATGCTAAAGGTTGTTCCACTATAAATTTATTAAAAATCATGTAGTTTTCTTCACCTAAAATGGGTGAATTCGCTACAGATTATAAATTACTAGAGGCCTGGTGCACGAAATTCCTGCACTGGGGGGGGGGGGGGGAGGGGGGGTCCCCCCACCCCGCCTGGACCCCCTCCAAAACGAACCCTCGGGGGGAGTTCCAACGCTGGGGGAATGGGGGCAAAACCCGCATCTCGAACACCCCTTTACATACCCGGGAATGGGTAGCCCAAAAAGTCGCACACGACCGCCATGTCTGTCACCCTTAACAATTACCGCGCCACCTTATATACCTCCAGGTTTTTTTTTTGTCTTTCTTTTTTCCC